AATATAAACACTTTCTGAGCTCGTATGAGAAGCCATGAAAAAATTCAAAGAATTCTGCCTTGAAGGACTCGAACATGTGACTTCTCGCTCATGAATCTAGATAGCTATTCGGTAGACCTAGGCCGAGCAATTAGAACGCTCTTCGCATCATCTTCTGCGAGCCATGGGGAGCAGTTGAATGCAGAGGGTGTCATAGTGGGAAAGTAAGCCACAATAAGAAGACTCTCTCATAACTGCCTTCAGTGAATCGCGCCGCAGATATCAAAAACTGACTTGAGCTCAGCGTCGCAGGACGCGTCCTTCGGACACAAGAATGTAACTTCAGCATTAGGCTGATGTTACCGTAATCGGGACAGCGCGTCAAATGAGATGCATCATCGGCGCGCGCACACAATCTACGTTGCACTTGACGACATAGGCATCCGCAATGCGGGCGCCTCAAATCGTGGAGAAAGTAGGGGGAGCCCTTGAGGTATTCTCGTTAATATTCAGTGATCTTTATGAGTGGATAAGAAAATTTCATGGAAAATCTAATTTTTTGCGAGCGTAATGGAACCGCTTTTTAGGCCCTATTATCAAAACATACATTTTGATGTTTTGTAACTACGGTACTTATGGACGCGAGCGACATAGAAGTGCGTCCAAGATGTAGTAGCGCCCATTGCTATGCATCAGCGACGCCATGAAAAGCCGTCGCTTCTCAATTGGGTCATCGTATTGTATCTCTGTTCCAGCTATTTTCGTTATTCTTTCTCCAATTCAATACTGATTGCGCGTGCCTTTATTTGTCCAACTGTCGCCCATGCCTGGTTGCTACGATTCGTTTACACATGCTGTAGTAATGTAAAGAGATTGTCCATGTTCTGAGTATTCCCTGCATTAGGATCACAAATTGTTGTCATAATAACTTGCCTTATTAGATGTCAGATATATATTTATATATCATTTATCTAGATTTCCGTTGGATTTCCGTTGAAAAGTGATGTAAGGATTGTCGCCTTCGCGCTCCATCCCAGGAACTGTGTAATGTGATGGAAATCGTTCGCAAGAGGGTAGTGATGTTTAGCTGCGTATTGGACGTCCGACGATGAGTCTTCGAAATCGGCTCTATCAGATAGGCCAGCATATCATGTATTTATGAGTCTACTCAGCAACGAACGCATTGCTCATCACATCACCTTAGATGGTCATCAATGAAGCATAGGTAATGCGTTCATGTATGCAGTGGTGTCATGTCCGCTGATGTACTCATCACCGTTCAATAAATTTCATTTACTTCTTTCTATGCGAATGTGGTTACATCTCAGATGACAAGTTGTTACGGTCTTTTGTGAACAGACGGTTCGTGAACAAAAGAATATGTGACGATGATTACCCATGATATGCTCCTAGAGCAAGAAGTAAACTTTCGAGCTTCTCACGGAACATCCCAGCTTCTCACGCATGTCATGTGGCTGCCCTCACCTCCCACCCCCCTGAATCGGCTTACATACCCCCTGACCTGCGCACGAATTTCGTGCTGCCGCACCCGCCGAGCCAGTCCCCCCCCCCACCGAACCCGAGTTTCACGCGGAAATAGCTTGAAAGCGTCGACGTAAAAGGACGAATACATTTGTCCAGAATCTGTTTAGCATCGCGTCAAGAGTTAAACGTAATGCGTGTTCGTGCCGCGCCGATGGTGCATCTCATTTTGACGCGCTGTCCGATTACCGGCTAACATCAGCCTAAGCTGAAGGGTACATTCTGTCCTCGGGACTGACATCTTCACTGCAAATGACCGACTGACCGATTTCACCTATTCCCTGTTAGATGAGGAGGAGTTACTTTGTTTCATTCTCGTTCAAAAACACAGCACACATGACACGGCGCTACTGATCAGAAAAAAAAACAAGTCCTCTAGGTAACAACGTATTTAGGTTCAGGGCCCATCCCATGCGACGGCCATTCATACCAAAGCCAAAATCTGTTATCGTTCTTCAAACATATTTCAACCTGGATGAAGGCCTCTTTTCTGGCAGAAACCATAACCATGAAAAATGAAAAGTGAAGGAAATGCTTGATGGATTCATCTTTAATGCACCAAATATGAGACCTTTAGGGACCTTAAAAACTATGTGGAGCTCGGTTGGCGAGTTGGATGAGTTCTGCAGCAATCTTATGTCTAGAAAAATGATATAGTGCCTCTAGAAAGTAACTGATTTTGCGTGTTAAGCAAATTGCACGAAAAACACGGAAATGGAGTGAATGGCAAAAAGCAGGTTGTACGCGGAAATACTAGGCGCTATTTTTGGAAAGATTTTTATTTGTCTATGATAGCGGAGCTAAGAGTGTAGTAAGCAGTTACAGTGCTTGGAACTGTAAGCCCAGGGAGGAAGGAATCCTAAGGGGCCTTCTCTCTGTGCGCGCTCTTCCTCGCAGCTCGCGGCCCCTCAGCGGCGCACGTGGTATGGGGCCGCTAGCTACTATATAAAAGGAGAGAGCGCAGCACTGCGAGTTTGGTTAGTAACCATGATGACTCTTGACACGTAAACGGACGTGAAAAAAACAGCTTAGACAAAAGCGAAGGCGAGAGTCTCGCTCTTTCTGGCGTAGTCTTCTGTTCTATGAAGGTTGGGTGTAAGATAGCTTTTTCGGTAATGGTGCCTTCGCGTAATGTTTAGTCTATTTCTTGTTTGTGTGAAAGAATGATGACGGATTCTTCCTCACAGCAGTGCATTACACGGCCTGAGCAAACGTGTCTCACGTAACATCCTTGCGGTACCGTGGCATAAATATGCAATGAGAAAGCAGGTTTATTTTATTCATATTATTTGCACTGTGAGGTGCACTATACAACGCAGATGTAGAATCAATATAAGTACATGCTAAAAATATATAAATTGTGGGAGGTAAGCACCAACCCGCCGGTCTTTCTTGTATACAAATCTAGCCATAAACATATAAGTGTGACCAGATGATAAGTTGCTTCATCTTGAAGTAAGTGAATGCGGCCAATGTATCATTCGTCTCCCATACCATGACAAGAGATTTATCATACCCAGGCTTTTTCACAACTGAACCGCAGTAGATGCATCAATCGCGAATCTCAGGTGAGGATGGCTAGGACAGAACGCGACTTTCACTATTCGCAGCGCGAAGCTTCTTCGTTGCGGGAACCCAAGGCCCACCAACGATCAAGGGTGGACCTGAGGTTTTCGTAGCGAAAAAAGCGTCGCGCTGCAAAAATCGAAGTCTCGCTCTGTCATAGTGACTCACACCCGGACCCAGCGAGCATACACAGCCGAACTCGACACAAGGGATGCAGATGTGGTTCATGAAATACAATAGATGAGTGTATCGTTCATTCGCATTCGGATAAATATTAACAGGAAACGATGTGAGAAAAAACGAGATGACGACCAAAGCCGCTGATATTTCTATTGCACCATTTTTACGGGGCTTACCTCTCACTGCACTTCACTAGGACTCAGACATGAACCAATTCACCATAGTGTTAATATAAATGCGACGCACTGCACAAGCAAATGCATCGTCACGACCCATCGCCATTTGAATTTATAACTAGTAAGGAACTATAACCACTGGAACACAATCAATAAATTAACGACTAACGAAAACGTAAATAGACCTATTTTGAGGAATAAAAGTCGAAAATGCTATGGTGAGAAGAAGGGTTAACAACGGATCAATCTACATTGACTGCGGAAGAAAGGGCAACAAAAGGAATGACACTTACTAGGGCGACTTTTTAGGGAGTAAACCTTATTTAAGAGTCACTAGTTATAAATATAGAAAGACTGCTAGTGGGACAGTGTTTGGAAGGAACTGAAGATGGAGGCATAGATTACTGCCCATGCGCTGGACTCTTCTGAGAACTTCGACGCTTCTTTCTAATTTCATGCTGAAATTTAATGAAATTTACGCAAACGGCTGTCGCGATGACCGAGTCTTGTAGCCTTCTCCGCAAGGGCCAACAGACATTACAAGATGTACAAGATGCACGTGGCAGCTGAGATAAAGCCATCATGCGAACTTTTGAGAAAACATGCCACACTCGTAGCCCCAGGTATGGTTAGCTAGCACAGAGAGCGAGTTCTTCACTGTTCGCAGCACGGAACTTATTTACTGTGCGGAAACCCCAGGTCCACCACTGATCAGGCGTGGACCTGGGGTTCTCGTCGAAAAGTTTCGCGCTTCGAGAAGCGGAAAAGCCTCTTTCTGTGCTAGCGAACCACACCCTTTCCTCTAGAAATAATGAGTCATGCTTAGCTGTTACATACTGAATGGTGATGGCTCGTTGTGCCATGATGATGGTTTGCTCTCGAGTGCCACGCTCATATTCTGTTATTGCGCACCATTCACCAATCTGACACCGGTGCCCTGCAGCACAACTCTTGCACCGTTTCTAAACAGTGAAAAATACGGCACTAGCGTGGCAATCAGCACTTTCACGGACGTAATAAAAATTAATAACACACACACATCCATCACAACTCAAGGATGAGCAACATATGTATGCCATGTTGTTGTATGGAAGCAGTTAACTGATAAAGCCCAAACTATCTAAATATTAAATCTCAAACAAACAGTAGGATAATGACAAGCTGCAACGTAGCACGAGAAAAAGAATAAGTACAATTAAGATACTTGTAACAAGGAGTTATGAGCGTTGAAGGACAGATTCAGAAAGAAATAAAATGAAAATTTCGGACACAGTGACCAGTTTACAGGCCAAGCGAAAGTCACACCATTAGAGATCAAATAGGTATAATGAGAGTCATGATAAAAATGAAAAACTAAACTGAGAGATGAACCCGTTTAACAAGAAAGTTGGATGGGTAGGTGCAAAGAACGATGAAAAAAGTGATGATAGTACTGTATTGAATCCAAGACTAATGGTTCAGCACATAAACTTGACACCTCACTTGTTCAGCTCACACGTAAGAATTGATTCATACAGTAATTGGCTAGTGGTCACATGCACCATAGAGTAAAAAAAATCAGTTAGTCGAAGATGGCACCATTACCGAATGACGAAGTTGAGCCGTCTGACGGTATTCAGACACCAATACAGCAAAGTGCTTTTCCAGGACCTAAAAAGAAAACAATAACATCATTTCAACAGGAATGAGATATTACTATGACCCATCATTATTCTTCTCTAAAATAAGGGTCTCGGGCAGGTACTACTATTTAAGCGTTTCTGACTCAGCTTCGAACCAGAGTCAACCGTTGATTTTCGACAATTTCTGTTTTTTTCGATGTTTTTATGTCTCTTCTGGAAGGAGGGGGATCTCAATACGGCAGCTCTCCATTGCTGTTTGATGACGACACTATGTTCATTAATATAGGGCGGTATACCTTGGCACTGGGCGCTCAATGTAGTGGGTCATAGGTTTTTTATGTATGCTTACCTTCTCGCTTTCTCTGAGCCCTCCCCACAACGAGAAAGTGCGTCCAACCAACCCATCAAATGACTAGGGGGTCCCGGGGCAGCCTTGAAAGATGGTGAGCATTCACATGAGCAGCGCGCGAAGAACCATTGCAACCGCACCCTAGCGCTAATGTGGGTTATGGCATCCATCCTATAATCCTAAACTCATGATCTTTATTTTTGAAGTTGGGGATTATGCTAAACCTTCACGTTAAAGCTGCTGAGCCTGCACTGCAGATTAGCCTGAGCGCAGGAGGCAAAATTTACGTACCCTTTGTATCCAGTGGCCAAGTGCGTGTCCACTGCAAACTTTACAAGACAGTGACGACGCCTACAAAAAGTAGTAGCCTTATGCCAACGAAATGAGAAGCTTGTTGCAGTTGTATTCTATCAATTGCCACCGATCACAGCTATTAATTATCAACTATCAGCTACAAAACAAAACTAATACTTTGCAGATTCACTTGGAGGCCGTCGTCACCTGTGTTGTAGAGTATGTAGTGTAAACATCCTTGGCGGAAAGCGTGCACTGAGGAAACCTGAACGAGGGGGCCGTATTAGGTAGAGTGAAAGGGAGGAGGTCGTAAGCGCCGGAAACAGCAATGATCAGCGCGACGATAGTCTATTCGAGAGTGGATGATAACCGCGACCCGCGTTTCTCAGCGCCAGCTTCATAAATATTCAACCATTTCAGTAACTTGAAGCCTTTTAGAAGGGATTTTCGACGTGTCATCTTTTGGGCTTGCACCAAGAAATTTTCGAAGTTGCTCTTTTGGAAAACGGAATTGTTGTTAAAAAGGAACAATACGGAGATCATCACAAATGCCTTCAAAACTGGTTGTATGTTAATGAGTTTGTGTTTTAGTGGATTATGTGATTTAGGCGTCACGAGTACTGAGTCCATGGAATATAATGCATTTCCAAAAAAAAATAACATAACCGAATAACCACGCGAGAAAGTAAAGACCGAAAAACGAAGCAACTCACTTGTCTACCATGTTGATCCTGGGGACTCATTTGAAGAGAAAGAGCAAACGCTTGCGAATCAAATGTATCGTCTTGGGAGATTAGAGCACCGTGAACTCCGCTGTCCGTCAGATTACTGGCATATGCTCCTAAGCCAATTTCTTCAACCCAGCGTTGAACTCGTTCATTGGACCAGACGAGAAGATCTTCAAATAAGAAATGTAGAGAATAAAACTGTCAAATTTCAACGCTACTACTGCAGCCAAAATTCACGATACACTTGTCAGAACTTCAGAAGAAGAATAAACAAGGAAAAGAGAGCCGAGTTGCACTCGGAATCGGCACAGTGCCACTAACAATAAGTTAAGTCCACTTATGATCAAACATTTAGTGTTGAAATGAAAATGAATATGTGTCAAGTCGGAAAAAAAAGCAGAGATGAACATCAAGCAACGACTCAAAATACTTATTATCCAATAAAAACGACTCAATACTATTTATTAGGTAATGGCTTTTGATGAGGAAAGTTTTGAAGAGTGATTCAAAAATTGCGGATTTTTTTTGCGCAATTATCATAAGCTGGAACTATTTTGCACCAGTCTTCCTAATCAAAACACACTGTTCCACATTTTTGCTACGCATGGATCTGTTCTTACAGAAGGTCAACAAAATAGTGCCTCTGTAAATTTACTACGAGGTAAGCTACCTTTCGGATTAATTTGCTTGCTCAACTTATTTGCCTTTTGAATCTAAATCATCTCTTTAATCTCACAACAAGTACAAACTTCATTTGCGAGAATCACAAAAGAAAGAGTATTTCGAGAAAACTTTTGCAATAAATTACCTCTATTGACCGTCTCGCATGCTCGCCGCCGATCCTGAAGCAGTTTACGGTCATAGTTGAGCTTCTTGAGGCACATAATGCCGTACTGCAGGCTGGCTCTGTGGAAATTATCAACCATACGTAAATGCGTCCTCAAATCACGCTTTGACAAATGCTCCAGCATTCGTGCATCCAGCAAACATTCCATGAAGGCCGACCTAAAGCGAATCGAGTCAAGAGGGCGTTAATTTCCAAGATTTCGAGCTGGTGCGATGGGAAGATTCCAAAGAGAAAGAACGCTGTAGGGTAGAGAATGTCTAGAAACGTGAACTATCGATCGTGTGAAAGCATCTTCGTTTAGACATTTGCTCACATAGGTAATTATTACTGGGACATATCTTTTCGACCAATCAAAGAATCAGGAACAGCTTATAAGTATTGAATCCTGACCTGTATTGGCCAAGGCCGAGGCTCGGCAACCAGTCATTTCCTATCCACTCATGGTTCATATCACCGAATGCTAATGTCATTCGAGCACATCTTGGAGCTGATGGTGAAGTTAGAGCCACCATTTCCTTCAAGTACAGATGAGTGAAAATAATGGCATTATTGCATTAGGCATCACAGTTTTAACAAAAAAAATGTAGGTTACTTGGATGGCTAATCGAAGTTTCAGCCGGTGCAAAGGATTACTTATACCGATTTCCCGTTGAATCTCTTGATCACTTAATGCAGACATTATAGCGCCAGACTGAAATGACACAATTTTTCAAAGTTGGACTCAAGTAAATAGCAATGATATTGGACAAGAAACGGTTATTTAGGTAGTCAAAGGGCCAGTGTTCTTAAGGGGGGGGGGGGTGAAATCGCTATGCGGACTGAGCCGAGGAGGGAACGATGAACATGAGAAAACGGAAATCGTTTACGCCTCACAATGATGCCTCCTAAGTAAACCAGCACCCATTTCAGTTCAACACGTTGAAAGCCCATAGAATCAGATAAAAGGATCAGCATAAATGAATTACGAAACTCCCAGGATCATGCGGCTTGTGTCTTCATTGAAATTGTCAAGCAGAAATAGATCACGTCTACTGCGGCAGGATTCAATTTAGGGTGCTCATGTCCTTGGGGAGAAAAGACATTCAAAACACATTCAGAACCGCTGATAGGTGCCACTAGGATCAATCTCACGAGCGGGGAGAAAGGCAGGTACAACAAAAGTTGCTCACGTCTTCCCCCAGAATCCCCTCCTCTCCTTAAAGCTTAATGCTAATATCTCTAAGTGGTTGACTTACTTCAATGCCTCCTAGCGAGATGAGTGCTAATCTAGTTTAATTTCATAGCTACACCATCCATTTTCACGAAAGTCCCACTCAAATTCTTTTGTTGTGGCCATTAGTTCTTTACACCCCTGTTTTGAATAGCGAGGTTAGAACTTCCATGCGGCATAACAATGAAGTGTTTTCGGGTTGTCTTAAAACCAACCACTGTGATATATTTTCCAAATTTCTCGTTTCTGCCTCTTTCCTTAACTAGTTCAGTTTCAAAACCTGAAAAGAGCGCGCATAGGCCGGACGCATAGTCAGTCGGACGACAGCAACGATCGTTGCTGCCGGACGACAGCAACGACCGCAAGTGTCGCTTAAACCGCGGTTGCAAATGGAAGGCGACGCGGTCACCCTATGCAAACCCAGACAACACGTGACTGCGCGTGATGGTATTTCGAAAGTCCCACTGTAGTGTGGAATAGTAGCTGCGTATTGATCGTGCGACACTAACGATCGTTGCTGTCGTCCGACCAGCGGTCGTAAGTGTCGCACATCTGACGATCGATACGCACCTAATGCTGTGCGACACTTGCGATCGTTGCTGTCGGACGACCGACTATGCGTGCGGCCATAGTGGGCCCGCGCGATTCGTTAACTCGTGACCGCGCTTGAACAAAATAGTGCTGGTTCAACGGTAATAAAAGCACGGTGTCATGAATCTGATAAAAATGAAAAAATACCTTAACGTTAGCACGACAAGCCGCTACATACCATGCCGGCATACCAACCCATAATTCCAGCCAAGCAACCACAGTTGGTCCATTCCACAGAGCAAACGGAGTTCGCGCTTTCATAGCCTTCAACCAATTACTAATGTAAACAAAGAAGCAAAAAACAAACAAACAACATGGCAAGAAGGACGAGAGCCTGCTTTTCACAGTGTTCAAATTGAGTGGTTCTTATAGAGGTCAGGTTATGATGAAAGAAGTACAACAAATTTCACTACCCTCTTCACTGCTTCCATTATATCTCGAGAACTACTCTTTGAAATGATCTATGTTTCCACCACTGTGTTATTGAGAATTGGCAACTCGCTCACCTCTTCAAGCAATTCATGCTTTTTCTTTTTCCGCCGATCGAAGTCACCATTGCGAGCTGATCCATCACCACCGGAGGAAAGCTCACTATCCGAGTAGGCATTCGCATCTCTCCTAAAGCACGAGAGAAACAAATTTTGGAAACAACAAAGAGGAATAAATCAAGAAATTTCGAACCTGTAGGTGTCACCCTGGAACTTCTTCTTATTGAATAATCGGCCCAAGGTTTTCAATCCACCTGAACTTGACGACCGTTTTTTCTTCGTCGTGAATCCGTCAGTGGAAGACGCCACTGATGACGCTGGACTCATCCTATCAGCTTCATCAGAGCCACCCTTAAATGTGTTGATTGCGATACTGTGCATGGCAGCAAAGCTCAATATGAGCAGCGCTTAAGATAGGGCAAAGTGTGGGTGAGAAGTTCGAAAGGTTCGTGGTAAACCTATTTTGAAGAGGGTAATCGTACGCGCAGGGCTAACCACTGCAGGGCTTTTACCGCTCCAATAACCAAATTGAAGAGTAAGATGTTAGTTCTAAAAATCAAGACGTGAAGATCCACAGCCTTCTTGATACCATCACCTTTGCAGCCAAAATGCGTTGTACATTGGAATAGGGTCAGCGAGGAAGCGACGCAAATGGAGGAGTGATGAGATTACACCACAGCGGGCCACAGAAGTCATTCCAGGTAAATAAAGGACGAAAGGATAAAGCTTTTGTCGCGGATCAATCCCTTTTTGATATGCGGTGCGCATTCTACTTCCATTTGCACATTCGTATTGAATGCGATGTGGCCTATACAATGACTTGCGAGGGCCAGCCGATGTACAAGTCAGCGTTTCTTATACTCCTAAACAAGTTTGGTACCAATTAACCGACCCAGGGATGGAAGGTTTAGTTGCCCGGACGACTCACGACCCAGGATTTAATCCCTGGACCGCTCGCGTGGTAAGCGTGCCATTTGCCACTACACTACTTCCACCCCTTTCAAGTGAATAGGACCAGAACAATTTATGGTTGTACCAGCACGATGCTAGTGCAGGTAACACTTTTCAAATGACTCAATTACGACATGTAAGTGGCACTTCATGACATGATGTCATGCCCCAATATGTGTGACATGCGAGTAGCCCAAACTTTTGAAAGTGGATCAAAATTCCAAACTACTCGAAGTTTAGAACTTGTCAACTATCTTGATCATGAATATGACAAACTTTAGCGACCGTGCATTTTGACACCACTGCTTTATCCCTAGGACTTTCCAAGTATCCCGATCAATTTCAATAAAGGCTTCGTGCGAGTTGCACACCATCGTAATCATGAATATGATAAAATTGTATGATATGATATATGATAAAATATGATATGATAAATATGATATATATATTGTATGATATGATATATGATAAAATATGATAAAAAAAATTAAAATTGTCACCGCGACCAGTCGAAACATGAAAATTTCGCTCTTTGTTGCTATATGTAGAGGGTGACTTCATTTCTTCCATACTCCACGAATTTTCAGTGGAAGTGAACAACGATTCTGTGCCGAGGCATGTGCCCCTACAGCATTCACAAAAAAAACGACTTCGAAAAGCACAGAAGGCCCCGACCAACTCCAATTGTCAGTCGCAAGACGAACCTTACCGAAGGAAAGCAGAGATGCAATCCATCACTTCTAGTGATTTGGAAGATATTTCAATTTCAACTGCAACAGTTGCTAGCAAGGGAAAAACTGGATGCCCCATTCATTGTTTCGAAATGGGATCAGACTTTCACGAGATATCAGCCCATGGCTTCTGTCTATCAACTCCAACTGGTAATTCACAAAAGATTGTCAGCATCGAATGAATTCGTGAATTGAATTGAATGAATTAAAACTGCACGTGGAAAACCGTCCAAAGCAAAAATTACCTGAAGCTGTTGCTGCATGTTAGCTAAGCGCAGCTGGCGCCTCCTTGGTGTGTAGTCAAGGTCTCCCACCATTGCGTCATCGACGATCTCAAATATTTATGAAAAAATAAATTCTTTGAGTATAATGAGTATAATGTTACGGCAGAATAATCCTACAAATCATCTTAGCGTGGTATTAGGTATTGAAAAAGTTAGAGGGAAAACTCACAGGATGGCCGTACACGTCCATGACTCTGTTCATCTGAGAAGTTGATGCATTAGTTGGCAACTGAAAAATGAGTCATATGGTAGAGATTAAGTTATTTATTGACCACATCGATTACATCTTGACAATTCTACGTTACACCTCTCATAATGTAACAATATCACTCCTGTCTGGGGATAATAAAAATCATTATGAGAAAGAAAAAACATCGTGAAAACGGCAGACAGGGAGACTATTTCATCATTACCAACAGTGGACAGGACCTGGCTCTGTGACACTAACCTAATCAGAACTATGCATAATGTCGAAGAGGCCGAATAAAAACTAAAGAAATTACCAACCGTATTATACTTGTTGATTAAGAGATCATGTTGAGGACTGTTGCGAGGGGTGCTACGAGCACTATGATGATCATCCATGTATTCGCTTCTTGCCCTAGATTCTAGATGTTCAGCAGCTCGTTCAGCATGATGTTTCTCTTGTTGTATCATTCTTAAAAGATGAAATATTCACTTGGAAATGGAACATGAAAAATAGATCAGAACTGATTTTCTCTTCACAGAAGAGACATAGCTCTAGCCAACTCATTATTTCTGAGAAATCTGGCATTCTCCAATCCCATTCTCTACATTTTTCTTTAGCTTGTTTAGGAACTTACGGAAATTCTGGAGTTTGTGTCTTGATTTTCTTTAAATACTCTTCTTCGCGCTAAACGGACTGTTCTTGAGAAAATGATGTACATATATAACTAAGTCAAATGGAGGTTGCGAAAAAAGGGCTGTTCGTGAAACCTCACGACTTCCTATTGGCTGTCCAAGTTCTTAGCTGGCTCACCCTGATCAGTCCAGTGATTCACTTGAGTTTAATGTTGAAAATAGAAGGGTGGTGACTGGTGACGTGATTAAGTAAAAAAAGAAACGATCAAAGTCAACAATAGGGCCCTTTTTAGCATGCATTTTAGCGTTAGACAACTTTCACCAAAAGGCAGCCTACTGTACACCTCCTTGTTGAAACAGCTACGGCCCATATGTATAAATAAAGGACATCGACCAGAGGAAATTCGATAGGGGGATTCTTCTCTCGCTCCGTTTACCCATTGTTTACCTTATTTTTTATCATTCTGTTGCTTGCGACCATGGCTGCTTCAAAACAATTCATAATAATGGTATGATCTAACCCCCTTTCCCTTCTATCGCATGACAGGAGGTCGCTGCGTTGCCTTGGATAAAAAGGATTTCGATGGGACATCTCAACATCATCCAGGGGATGACCGCTCATAACCAACACTAACATGAGCAAGTCAACAAATTGCTCTGACATGTGCTATGAGGTGTATGCCATTCCACCCGCCTCGAGACGCTGACCTTGGCCCTGCTTTCCATATCTGGTTGACAATATCAATCGGAGTTATGAAGCGTAAGGGTGCATCGATGCTAGTCTAGCTAAGCAAGAGATAGCGGAATTGACTCATTAGCAAAAATGCGCAAAAATGCTTTTTAACTATTTTCATGATGGATCATTATAGACATTATACCGCACTGCGAACGTGGGATAAAGCGCGTTTGCGTCTCTCAATCATTACTAAAGTGAATAGACAAGATAGTATGCATCATTTCTTACCAACTAAGCTTCTGTGGGGTAGCGGGATCCCGCGCAAACGTCGGAGCCCTGATTGAATTCAATGACTGTTTCTCAGTGGGATATCTGACGGAATGTTGCATCCACGATCGTTTCGCTAGGGAACATAAATCACTTGGTGGACCAGATCGTATATAAGGACCTCGAAACGAGCTCGCCTTTGCAAACAATGGATCAGCAGATATCAAAATTGATGAAGGTCGGGACTGAACCTGCGAAATTTTATTGAAAAGAGGTAATGCGGACTGTATTAAAGCATAAAGCCGAGTCGATAGCCGCATCGACTGATAGGATGAAACCCGCTATTGCTGGTTCACGGCAACCACATTCCCCTTTCAAGGCTGGAATGCCGCTGGAAAAGATTGAAGCTTACACAGTGTATTCGACAGGTTCTTGTTTTTATCGTCACTTTTGGTCATTTTCGCTTCTGGCTCATCGAGCGTACTTATCATCTCAACTTGACTGGGATGTGGGCTTTTATTCTTACTACACAAGAAAGTGAGAAGACTGAAAATGGACAGTTCCACCTAAGATTTTTTCTCCACAATTCCGAATGCCAAAACACAGAAATTTTCAAAAAAAAACATGCAATATAACCTTAAGTATAACCCAATAAAAAATATGACATACCGAATTTCTGAATTTATAGCATCTAGACGTTCCTGGAGCATAGATGCCAAAACATGCGCATCTTGAGAACCCTATCAATAATTACCAAATAACCAACAATAACGAAAAAGCATAGTTAGCAGAAAACGGAAACAGGAACCATGGTCTGAGCTTACCTGCTGGGACATGGTATTCATGAGAAGATCTGGTTGTTGTGAATGTGGCTTTGATGATGGTCCACGTTGAAGTGCACCTGTACCACCCATGTCCAGCATAGACGGCGACGAGGAGAACGCCTGTAGTGTAGCAATTCTAATAAGCAGAAGTGGAAAACAAAATAAACACAATGAGCTTATTCAGACCTGTTGTACATTTGCTAGTACATGCGCCTGCTGCAGTCGGTCCCATTCTTGTTCATTTAGTGTTTGGACTTTTGATGGATCCTCCTGAATTAGCGAGACATGCAGAAATAGAACAAAAATATACAGAACGGCAAAAATACGTGCGCACGTTGATTGACGAATCGGTTTCATTTATTGCACAAAGCACTTATACGTAATTCACTTCGGAAACACTGATTCATTGCTTAAAATCGGGTTTCAGGAAAGGACTTGGTCTTTCATGTCATGGCAAAAATCTGACAATAGCGACGAGATTGTACGTCTGAAAAACAGACGATTTCTACAGAGCTAGGAGTTCCTCTAAGAGCCGCCCAGGAGACTGTAAAGGTGCGAAGAGAAGGGACGTCCAAATCGACTCGACGAATGAGTCGGGCCATGAAAACAAGTAGTGAACGAAAAGATAATGAGCTCCAACAGAATGGCCTAGCAGCTTGAAATGGCCTGAAATTTGTTGAATTCTGAAGTTAACTTCTGATAAACTACCAAATTCAAAACGTTTGCAGCGACCAAAATTGACAGCAAATGCGGCAATTAATTTTGAAGGTGGATGAAAACGTTCCTTGGTTTAAAAAAAGTGTTCACTGATGAGGTTGCTAACACTCTTAGAATGACCGCCAAGTTCTCAGCCTAGCACTCGATATTATTCGTAGGAGGGACTGCCACAAGAAGTCCGTTGCCCGCAAGCGTAACACTTTGAAGAGATAGTGTTTCGGGTGGACTCCAATGATTTTTGTTGAAAAAAGGGAATGCAATTTCATGCGGAGGTTTAGCAGGAAGAGACCTGAGAAACGTGTGAAATGTGGACCTGGAAACAAGATTGCCCCAGTTTTATCATTGGACAGGATTGAGCTGCAGTCAGTGAAACTAAAACAATGATCCATTCCCTAGAGACCAAAACAGGCTCTTTTCGACGAAGAACTTGTGGATTGCGATTTCCGTTGAGTTTTACGATGGAACTATGAAGGAGCAAAAGGTGAGAAGCCTGGAGACTCGTTGAAAAGGCTTAACCAATATTCGAAACAATTCGGATAACTGCAAAGTCGATTCGATGAAAAAAATGAATAGATGATTTTACAAAAACTAATGGCGGTAACTAGTAAATTCTTGCAATCGAAAATATTTTAGTTTTACTGTTTTACGAACAGCACTTTTATATTTTTTAAGACCACAACAGAGCACTTGGGAATGAAAGCCAGCGTTCATACTCAGTCAATCACGATTATTCGCGAATCGCAAAACGCGCGGAAAAATTATGGGCCGATTGACTGATTTGGATGCAGAACCACCAGAAAACACATATCCATTCCTCGCTAAATATTTAATTCTAACATTCTTGCTTTCTTCGACAGTATTTCTGGCAGAAACGCATAGAATTGTTTAGCAGTATTTCCGATGTTCTAATCTATGCAGCTTGCTCCAAATGCGACACGAGACCGCTCATCTATGTCAAATATGCGATTACTCATGGCAAAGCATAATATCAGATTGTTGAGAATACCCACGTCAAAGAGCCCGGAAATCGATAGTGATAAAGACAAATAGGTGACAAAATAAAACTATAGTGTACCTGCAGTGCATTGATTCGACCTTTGTTCGGTCTCCGAACTCCAACAGTTGCATAGCCGGGTGGTGTGGCGTATGAGGTTGCCGCGAACGGTTGCGGAATAACGGTTTGCGGCGATGGAGCAGTGACACCATTCGGAATCACTAGTGGCAGTGGCGGTGGAAGTATGGCATGCATTCTAAAAAAACTATATTCACCACTCGCCATTCCCAAAAGAGCGGAAAACTAGAAAGTAACATAGGCACGATACAAAGACTTCCCCTTCTTCGCATCATAATAAAAGCGGCAAACCATCAGCGGTGCTCTTTTCAGAGCTTGAAGTCACATATGTGTGTGACCTTATTGCAGTGGGCACTCATGTCCACAGTTCGACGCATCACGTCCGCCCTATTCCAAAATATAACTGGCTTTGCTCAACCCGAAATACGACCCCTCTCCCAAAATCGTAAACACGACTACCCCTCCATTAGAATAATCCAAACGAACGGTTGACCTTGCCTCCAACTGTTAACTGTAATCCAAACAAACATGCGAATCGAGCGCAGAGTTTTGGTTCACAGAACAAAAAATTTAACGGAAAAAGGAATTAATGAGGAAGTTAATAAAAAATGGAAACAATGGAAAATATACCTTGAGTGGAACTGAGCTGTGCGCGCATTGTAAAGCTGTTGGCGAAGTGCTTCAATTTCCTGCCGGAGAGCATCGTTATCACGCTGCAGACGTTCTTTTGTTCTTTCTGCCTAAATATTGAGCACATGAGTAGCAGAAGTTATTTAACATAGCAAACACCTCTACCATAAATGATGTCAACATAATGAATGCGCTATAAAGTTAACAAGTCGCACACATAACCTTACAAAACTGAAAGAAAACATCTAAAAATGTGAAAAAGGTACGAAGGTCTTTCTTCAGCCTCCATGTACAGTAGCCTACCGCGCTGCAAAACGCTACGTACCAGTTGGACGACGATTACAATCCTACTCATCGATTATCAAACTTGAGGAAGTGATAATCAAATGCCGACTTTGATTGAAATTCATCGCAATGGGCAAAAATTTTGATTTCTGTTCACAAATCTTACTTGATCATATATTTTCTTGGTATTCTCGAGTTGCTGTGTGAGACGATTCTTATCATCCAGTGCTTGCATTCTCTCCTTCAGGTGTAATTGAAGACGGTCATTCGATTCGGATAAGAGCTATAACGATATCAACGAAAATTCATTTAATGAAACACGCTGAAAACATGTTATAGGATAACAACGACGAACCTTATCCACAGTACTACTTAAACGCTGACTGTGTTCTTCATTCATTTTTTCCCTCTGCACTGCTCGTTCCAACTCAGCCGATGACTCAAGCGCTTGGCGCTCCAAACGCTGAACTCGTTCTTCAGCGGATAACTGCTTCTGAAAAATTCATAGAGCATGAACATGGCTAATATTAACCAGTCCTTCGAACTTATTGAGAAGTGATATAAACAAAGAGCGCGACGGCAATGCTTGTTACTGTAAATGCGTGCTCAAGACAATTCAAGCAGGAATGATTTAAGTGGCAGTTTCTCCTAGAGCCTAAGCAGTTGGATATGTAATCAAATGCAAGTAATTTTATGTGTGAGACGGCTTCCGCTTGTGAACACCGGACTGCGTAATTCGGAAGATTGCCGATCAAAGTATACGCATTTGAGAACGCAAATCTAATCCAAATGCCAAAGGAAAAATGATCTGGCATCTCTTACGACGCAGATTTTGTTCTGGAACAAGAAATGTGCTGAACTACAGTATAAAAGCTTATTCTTTCAAGTGAGCGCACAAAACCCAATCCAACTACCCTTTGACGCTTTCTATTCCAATGAACTGTTATCAGTAAGGTAAACGTTATTTTGTATAAATCATAATAGTCACATCTTTTGAAGAATCACTACAAACCTGCTCAGCCGCCGTCAACGCTTCCATTCGTTGTTGTAACTCAGCCTCAACAGATGGTAGGGACTCAGCCTTTTTGAGGCTTTGAGCGAGTTGTTTTTCAGCAAGTTCCAGTCGCTCTTGTAATGATCTCACTTTCTCCTCGTTTAATCGAACGGCAGCATCCTTGTTTGCCAACTAAACCATGTTATTTTAACGATAACTGTACATCTGCCAATACACATGGATGCAAAAGACCACTAATCTGCTTTCTTATTAACACTACCAAATGTAAAATCTCAGTGCCCAACAACATATGCTACAATCTGATCCCCATGATCATACATTACGCAATAAAATCCATTCCAGATTTACCAGATTTACGCGAGATGGATTCAGAACCGACAACAGTATCGCATATGGTAGTACCACACGTATGCTATTCTATGTTATTACCTGGTGTTCCAGTTTATCGTTAAGATCCCGTATACACGTCGCCTCTCTTTGAGCTGCCAGGAAACGACTTTCGAGCGTTGAAATTCGAGCCTCCTGATCATTTCGCTGCGCCTCGGTCTGGAAACAAATTTAAAGCTTTCCCACAGTCAGATTTCGTTCTGCCTTTCTTGCGTTCTGCGATGGCCGATGTCAGACTTTGAGAATCGAGCGATTCGCTAGCGAATTGCTGCACACGGAGTGGCTGGTACATCGTCCAATTCGCTGGTGCATCGTTCGATTCGCTGGCTTCATGTTCGATTCGCTGGTGCAACGTTTGATTCGCTGGCGCAAGGCTCGTATCTAGCGATTCGCAAACTCTGACATGGGCCATACCTTGAAAAGACGTGGTAGTGTTGAAAACACACCTCACTCAAGAATCGAAAGAAGGCGACACAAATGAATGAAAAAGCAAAAGTAGGTCGAGTTCGAAGGACCTAATTTAAACGGCAATTCAGCAAATCTACCTCGTGCAACTGATTCTTTAACTTTGTCAGCTGCTCTTGACATGCATGCGTGTCCTTATTAGCAGTGGAGAGCTGAGCATCAAGGTCGGCATTTCTGAAGAAGAGCTCAAAAATTTACAGAAAGTCGGAAAGAAAAGGAAAATGTATGCATTCCTAGGAATGCCCGTACCTTGCGCTGAGTTCTTGCACTTGTTTGAGGCTATTTGTCAGTTCTATTTTCATTCGCTCACATGCCTCCTGCATTTCAACGAGACGTGCTGCGGATTCGCTACTCAACGCACCATTCGTCTTTTGTCCTTTCGCCTAAAATTTGAAAAGAAGGCGTAAGCATTGACAAAGAAGGCAAAGTGCTAACCTAGAAGAAATTCTGATATGTATTTAATTCTATGTTGATACATTCACAATTCTTTGCAAAGCTCTACAAAGGGGCTCTGTATGAGAATGCTCAATATGGAAACAGTAATTTTCTGACCATTCTTCAGCACTTATATCAAGTAAGTATCAATTTTCAATCTTCGGCGTTCGCGCCTCCTGGACAGCGCGGTCGTAAAATCCAAAAATTACTGTTCGCTATACAGTGACTCCACAGCCGAGCTGATAGAATCTGTGTTTTGGGGCCAGTCAGGTGGTGTCAAAATGACATCGACTGACTATCGGACCTTCTGCCGTTCAAGGAATATAAATCGTGTACCCACTCAACCAGACTCGCAATTGCACGGAGCGCACTCTTCAACAATATTGCTAAAACTTTCAGTCTTTACAACCATTGCAGTGCTTGCCACTGCAACGAATGCTCTGAGTTAGGAAACAAGAGCGCTAACGGAAAGAAGCGCACTGCCCACTCTTACTTGATCTACCACGCTGCATTTCCTGTTGCCATTAGGAGCTTTGGAGGTTACTACGCAGTGCATGACTTAATGGACAAATACTGCCATCCCGTATGAAGGATACGGGACCGCAACACCGAAGTGGATAAAATTGCGTTCTTTTTTGTCTAGAAGATAAGGAGACCCTACGAACTAGCTGGTCACAACCTCTGAAAAATAGTATTACCTGCGCCTCTTCAGCTTCAGCGGCTACCATCGCGAGTCGAGCTTTTAGCCCAGAATTCTCCTCACCCTTAGAGGTGACTTCTTCCTCTAGAGTCGCCACTCGCTCCATAGCCACACGCAACCGCTCCCTAACCTAAAATCATGACAGATTTCATAAAATAAAGTTACCATTGAGCAAGTGAGATTAGGACAAAAACTCACTAAAGAAACCAATGCTCAATAAAGAAGAATAAGATACCTTTTCATCCAAAGCTTTGTGATGCTCGAAGAGGCTCTTCAATGCTTTCAGCACTTCTACTTCAGAAGACACCTAAAGGTACAAAATGATGGCATGGCAATTGAATAAACATAAAATAAAAATGAGGTGAATTTCTCACCCCAGCTGGGCTTTGTGCTTGCCGTTTCATCACGGTTACTCGTAATGACCGCTCATGTCTAGATACTAGACACTCCAAGTGTTCTAATAATAATCGGGTGTTGTTACGCTCCGCCTGAAATTCGCGTAAGAAATCTCCTCATTTCAAACTCTGTAATCACATGACAGCATGCGAATCAATTCTTCGCGGAAATCAAGAAAGGAAAAACCATTATAAATGAAATAATTAAAATGGTCCGTTTCGCTTTGCAGCATTATGCCCAGAGAACGGAATAAGGTACACATCTCTAAGGCTAGGTTAAAAGTGCTATTTAAATAAAATACGGTCCCTTATACTATTTTCGTACGGAGACCTCAGATTTGCCTTCCGAGTTAGCAGAACGACTCCATGAACAAGCTGCAAAGACCAGCATCTCGGTTGGGCACCTTTCTCACAATCAGGAGTGGCATGGAAAACATTGTTTCATCTCGTATGAGATAAGGTTAAATCACTTTCCTGCCGTGAGGTGGGCATCTGACCATCACTATTTAATTAGCGTTGTTCGAAAATATAGAAGTTTCTCCTCTGCTTTTTACGACCCATCCTTAGAAAACTACAGCGCAACAAACTCACAGCCATTCACTTAAGCTTCTCTTTTCGGAAAATTCAACTTTCCCTTGAAAATTTTCGTCATCAATTTCTGCTACTAACCACGACTCTATGGTTTTCGATGGAACCTTAGATAGACAACTGCTCTTGAACGAACTTTTGAAAGGGTTATATTTGGTGGCTTGGAGTTACGTTTATGGGGGAAATTTTACAACATTAAGAAAACTTTTGACAAACTATTTAATTCGGAAAGTTTGTGGTTGTTCAACGAGTTTTCTTTTTTCGTGATGAAAAAAGTGTCAGCTATGAACGACTTTGATGCTGTACACCGAACATCATAGGAAGGCTGCAGGAAGAAGTGCGAATTGAGAAAAAATTTTGACAACACAAGGCGTTGTCTCACGGTTGCCAATATGAGACTCCAGTACAGCCCATAATTAGATTTTGGGATTGCCTTATTCACACATACAACTTACCTTGAGTTCAACGATTTCTTCATCCTTTTCAAGTAACTGCTCACGAATCTGCACAAGCTCTTTTGTCATCGACTGCAGTTCCTGAAATTCAAACAATATCATTTTGAACACCGCATTTCGCTTAATTTTAGAGACGATATAGTAATAAGAACGCACGCAGTACCTATCCCATGGCAGCAAACAAGTAAATCAAGATTCATCAGCCAAATACGATTTTCGGTGTTTCCACAACGATACTTTGATACGTGAATGCCCCCAAGCTCAACTTACGGTTTAAAGGCATTGAATGAACCACCTAGCCTATCGCAATGGCGATTACAATCGTATCTAGGGCACTACCAATAGCTCCCCCTTCACTGCTGATTCTATAAGAGGAAACAGAGCGATGGCAGAAACAAATATCGTCTAATTTTTTCTCGCAGATTCCTTGATATATTTCATTTCTCACTACTGATATCCTTTCCACACATTCTCCAAGATCGGGAGCTTCAGAAGTAAAGCTTCCTAGCCTATTCAGACGGTACGTGCACTCGCCGAGTTCTGATGAGTTTTAAAATAAGATCTGTTTCTCATGAACACAATGACCTACGAATCACGGATTGTGACAGCAGACAATGTAATGAGCAACTAATGACTCCCTGATCCCTTCTCAAAACCGAATGTACGAACTCTTGCTTCCGATGAGTGGTGCAAGTGAATGACGCCAACATTGGCAACACCGTCAATGAATAAATAACCGCTCATGAATCATCCTCTACAATCTATTAGTTTGAGTCATCTGCAATGTCCGGTTTTTTCAAATCGTTCCTATTGTTGCCTATGAATGTTTGTGCTGTTTTTGCCATCTTGTGTTGAGTGAAAACCCCGCTATCACAAAACGGAAACGTTCTAACGAGCACTGAGGCCGTCCATTTCAAAACATGTTCACCATTGTTGACTCCACGAGTCCTTCTTAAGGATGGCGAGAATAGTGAAGCCACTTGTGATGGAGATGTGAGATCGCGCCCTTCGGGCTATCGAGATTTACATAGCCTGGGACGACGCATACGATCAGGAGAGCGAATATCTGACGGTTTTTCCTGGCTGGGGACCGCCGTTTCGGGTACCTCGACAAAGCGACATGATATGAAAGAGTGTGGTTTGCGTCAGTGAAAAGCGGAGGTTTCACTGAATGGACGCAACTAAGTAGCCATAGCGAGCTCTCACAGGTGATCTTCACGGTGGAATGCCTCACTGAGACCTCAACCATCACATCACTGTTAGCTCAGATCTGCTTGCAACTGCGTGGACTTGTAGAAATTACAATGCTGCAGGTTCCTGTGGAAAAAAGGATGGCAACTAAGGACTACATGGCAATGCCCAAAGGACAACTGGAACCTAGCTTCAGTTATCCCCAGCCATTACATTTGTATTGAACTCGTAGGCACACCAGTAACATATTCGCTCGACTTTCTACTCAACTCCGATAAAAAAAAGAGCCACGAATTATTGCGAAACCTCGAAACAGACCCCAGTCGCTTTATTGCGTGCGAGAGCGCACAAATCTGCATGATGAAGTATCCATCTCATTCGCGCAAAATAACGCGTAGCAGCAGCAAGGGTGTGATAAAAACGCACTGATTCAACACCGAAACACGACTAGAAGGCCATTAGGAGACATGATTACCTAACAAATTATAAAAAAAAATCAAATTAATTAAGTGCAATGCGCGTCATTAGCAGATTTGAACTTCTGTGGAAGACCCGCGACTGAGTTGAGGTGAACTACGCACCCGGCGTTTTTTCAGTCTACCATGTCGATGGATGAAAGTTAGTAGTAGTATTTTAAGCAGTACAAATAGCAGTTAATAAAACAATAAGAGTAGCCAAAGCTATGTATTTTAAGGAATTCAAAAACTGGCCGAAAAAAACCTACATTCAGGTAAAGCTGTGTTGTGCATTTCATATTGGCGCGAGGTCTCCTATTTCTTTTCCAAGTGCACGGGCTCTCGGTTGATACTATCCTCCAGCTTTGTGTTTATACTTCTCTAGTTGTTCGTGGAAGTTTATCACGATCTCGAGATATTAACATGAGCTAAAATGGAGAAGATAAATAAACCTGCTCAGTGACGACGAACATCATAAAGGTGCGGAGGACAATACTGTACAATAATAGGTTTTCAGAACACGGGCTTTTGGCACTGAAGCTGAATTACCCATAAC